TGGGAGAAATCGCCTTGACTTGCTCTTATGGGCTGATGGGACTGATATTTTGTATTCACAATGTAGTTATTAGTGTTTTGAAAAATGAAAGTGCTCTAAGTGTGCCCGCTGACAATAACCTCTGAGTATTTATAAGAAAATGTTGGCCGGGCACGGAGGCTCACGCCTGTCATCCTGGCACTCTGGGAGGCCGAGGCGGGAGGATCTCGTAGGTCAGGAGTTCGAGGACAGCCTGAGCAAGAGCGAGACCCTGTCTCTACTAAAAATAGAAAGAAATTAATTGGCCAACTAATATATATAGAAAATGAGCCGGGCGTGGTGGTGCATGCTGTAGTCCCAGCTACTCGGGAGGCTGAGGCAGGAGGATCGTTGAGCCAGGAGTCTGAGGTTTGCTGTGAGCGAGGCTGACGCCAGCACTCACTGTAGCCTGGGCAACAGAGTGAGACTCTGTCTCAAAAAGAAAAAAAAATAATAATGTAGTTATTAGTGTTTTGATAAATGAAAGTGCTGTAAGAGTTCCCGCTGACAATAATCTCCGGTGGCGGTTCTGGACGTCAAGGTGGTCCGCAGAGGGGACCACAACAGGACCTCCAAGGTCCGCTGCAGCACCCGGGACGGCTCGGCCCGGTCCGGCGTGGACTACTACCCGAAGAGCCGCGTCCTCACGTTCCGCCCTGGTAAAGGCACCCCAGGCCCCGTCTACACGGGGTTCGCTCAGCCGCGGGGCTGAGTCCTGCATGTGGAGAGAGACAGGAGTGAGCAGGGAAGCCGAGAAGCACAGCAGGGGTAGCAGCAGCGCGAGGCATTTGCTAAACACACGTTTGAGGTCGAAGGTGTGAGATGTTTAAAACTAACTCTACGGGTCACACATACTTTATCTTTTCAGCACGTACTCGCGATTGAGTTTATGCCTGTAATCGTTTTGCCTCTGGTCTGTTTTCTAATATTATTACCTATTTAATTGCAGCACAGACTCTCACTTTGTTTGCCAGCGCTAAGAGTGAGTGCCGTGGCATCCAGCCTCGCGCCACAGCAACCTCAGACTCCTGCCGAAGCATCATCCTGCCATCAAGCTTCCTTGAGATAGCTGCGACCCACAGCACGCCATACCACGCTGGCTAACTATTCTTTCTATAATTTCAGTTGTCCAGTTATTTCTTTCGTAATCAGTAAGACGGGAGTCTCGCTCCTTGCTCAGAGCTGTCTCCCGAACATCCTGACCTCGACCATCCGATCATTCCCCGCCTCGGCTATCCCAGAGTGCTTGTCTAAGGCGTGACAGGCGTGACGCCGCTAGCGCCCGCTCCTGCCCTCTGCGCCGTATTAAACGACGTGAACATCTTCCCTCTCTCACCGCCCTAATGCGTTTTCGGGGGAGTCCGGTCACCTAACGCTCTCCGTTTCCGCGTCCTCTCGCGCCAGGTGGAGTTTGAAGAGCGCCTACCAGGTCGGGAGCCGCGGCCGGACGCTGTTGGCCTCGCTCACAGCAACCTCAGACTCCTGGGCTCAAGCGATCCTCCTGCCTCAGCCTCCTCCCGAGTAGCTGGGACTACAGGCATGCGCCACCATGCTGGGCTCATTTTTTCTATATATTTCTAGTTGTCCAGCTAATTTATATATATATATATGTATATATATATATAAATTGGCCAATTAATTTCTTTCTATTTTTACTAGAGACGGGGTCTCGCTCTTGCTCAGGCTGGTTTCGAACTCCTGACCTCGAGGGATCCTCCCGCCTCGGCCTCCCAGAGTGCTGGGATGACAGGCGTGAGCCACCGCGCCCGGCCGACATCATGCATTTTACTTTATTTTTTATTTTTTTTTAATTTACTTTTTACTTTTTTCTTTTTTTGTTGTTGAGGGAATAAGTTGTAAGTATCTTCTGGTGCATCATGCATTTTCAAAGTGTCTAAAAACATTTCCCCCATTCTGTTGCTTTTCCCAAGGAACATGTGAGGGAGATTACACGGGGTTCGCTCAGCGCGGGCTGAGTCCTGCATGTGGAGAGAGAGGGGGGTGAGCAGGGAAGCCGAGAAGCACAGCAGGGGTTA